AGAGTGATTCCCGCTCGAATCGAACAAGTGATCGCTCAGTGATGGTAACCATGTGTTTTCGCGCGTTACTAATAAACTGTGGGATTGTGAGCGTTATGTGATTGGTGTATATTTACGTCACCAGCTCCTCCTTCTATTGGTTCAGTTCACGCGTTGCGGGCTTTTGTTTCAATTGTTGTCTATTGTTGTTAGGGATTCGGCTGGAAATTTCCGACACATTCCGCAAAGAATTTGCATACTGTTCAGTTTAGTTCATTTCTAAGAATGGAACATTCGTCAGCCTTTCTTCTGTTAATTATGTCACTGAAAAAAACAACAGCGTGGGATTTCTGCATGCAGAACAGATCAAAACAAATTCTCAGAGAAAACTAAGAGAGTTAAGTTATCACTATGTTAAGTACCTCAATATTCGACTCGTCTACGAAGTGAAATACATACATGTAAATCCGTTGAACGCCGTTCCTTATGTCAGTGTTTTGTGGTAAATAAAAAAAAAAACTGAGAAACACTGAAGACCGTGATTTCCGAAGTAATCTTTTACAACAATGACCCGAAATGATACAAACTTTCTTGCTGAGTGTTCTCGAAAATGTGGATGAGTTTCTTACTTATCGGAATATCGCAGTCAAAACATACTCGAAGATACCAATTACGGTAAAACTGAACGGATCGTTACCGCGCCCGTTCTTGGCTGCCTAGAGACCCCGAAAAACAAATTCAGACGTGTGCGCGGGATCCGGAACTCAAGGCAATATTTATCACAAGCGTGAGGCTATATAAGTTCCAGGTCAGCCTAACGTTGTCATCCTTAACGGGACACGTATTCATAAAAGGCAAAACCTATTTGTATGTAAGTATTCCGGCTATGCGTGGAAGTTAACTAAATTGAAAAATAGTCCGCTAACAATATTTTCGTGGGAAGGTCCAGTTGTTTTTAAAGTGAATATTTTTAGGTGCATTCGCGTGACATTGGGACATAACAGTGAAATGGAAAGTGATAACCTTATCCAAGTGAGCCTCCTAACCTACAGTGAAAGCCGCAAATGGCCTAAAATAGCCTTGGGAGACATAGTGTTCATGCCTAAACTGATTTGTTTAGTTGACTTTTTTCGGGGGAGGTGGCTTAGTTCCTGTCTAATACTGCAGATTATGTTCGTTTTTTCGGCCATTTTATCTCCATATTCTTCCATGTTTATTTTTTTGCTGAAGTTTCGTACTTTGCTGTGAACAATGTTACTTACACAGAGGAAGGAAATGGGGAGAAATCCTTACAACCCTTTGAAAAGTCCTGGTACTGTTTTCTTTGGAAAGATCTGCCGTTCTTTAGTTAACTTTACAAGTGCAACGATTGTCTTGCTGCTTTGAAAGTTTGTAGATAGATATCAGTCTTCACAGTTTATACGGCAAGAGTTTAGTTTCTTCTTGTTTATTTTTTTTTTGTAATTTTTTGCAAGCCATTAAGCTTCAACCTGTGTGAGCTCCTTTCTCCCCCCCCGAACAGAATTCCAAGGCAGGGTGGAAAGAAACGGAATCATTGACGCAACGTCTGTTACGTCAGGATCCCGTCTGTTACGTCAGGATCCCGTCTGATTGAAATAATCAGGAATCACGCTAATCAATGAGAAGCAGACACCAAAACAAGTAAATGCGATAAGTTGTTGTAAACAGCCATACGTCAGGGAGGGAGATAGCGCGTGCTCCTGACGATGACTGCTATTACTTTACTTGAGATCAGCCTGATGATTGATCGTTTCTTTTTGTCCGCACTGTGTTATTTTTCCTAATGGCCGACCTCCAAAGTTTTAGAGCGTACAAAATAATTTTAAAGGAGCTTTGTTGGTTAAGATAATCCTGGGTAATTATTCAGTGGATACAAAAATCTTTTTATTTTTATTTATTTATTTTTTTTTACTGACACTGGTCTCTGAATGTACATTCAGCTTTATTGGCCAGAAACCTTCATGTAGTCTAATGTACCTTTATAAGAACTAACAAGATTTTGATACACCTGTAACAGGCTTAATCCGACACTCTTTTAAAATACCTCATCGAAACATTCCGATGGTCGCAATCTAATATCGCCGTAGACAAAACAGATTGGAAAGAACATGTTTCCTTCCGACCCTCACGAAATTTAATCCTTATCTTTGTTTCTTTTGCTCAGAATTATGTAATTCAACACGGAAAAACCGCGAAACTATTGTTTCGTGTTGCTATTGTGTAATTTTTTGGTTTATATCGTTTCACTCTTGTCTTATGGCGCCTGCTCTTCCGTTTTAGGAGACAAATGACGCACTTTTTTGGTGGAAATGAACATCTGCTGTCACCATGTTTTTCTCGTTTTATTTCCTTGCAAAGAACTGCTTTTTTGGGTTGTAGTCGTAATGTAAATATTGTTAAGACAAGTTCTACCGACTTTTTGCGGCAAGGTTTATCAAAGTTAAGCTATCGATGGCACGCGACACCGTGAAGTCGATGGTTTTCTTTCGCTTATTTTTGATCTTGTTTTTTAATATTGCTAAACTGTGAAGCTATTATATTGTTAGAACTCAATCAAAGAGTTGGAAGGAATTCTAAATATGAGATTCCTTTGTTAAAGAAAAAGTCGACACAGGCTGGTCTGATAACAGGTGTAACAGATGTTACTTGTTTAACACATAACTCAACCTTTTCATACTTTATCAATTGTTCCTATTGGAAAAAAAATTTTTTTTATAATTATTAAGCCCACTGAAGGTATTCATCAGTTTGCTCTTTGTTTGTTTTCTCTATATTTTTACTGGTGATCGTCTATTTTTATCTGACGTTATGTATCGTGGTTATGCCTTGTTGTTTTAGGCATCAAATGGTTAAAAGGAGACATCTTTAGCCATCGAAAACCCAGGATACGGAACTTTATTACCTGGCTTCGATTAAGGCCGATTTCCCAAGGTTTAAAAGCTTTTCACCAGCATGCGTGTAGACGACCTAATAATCTTATCCTAGTATGCACGCATATTCTTTGTGTTTATCTTGCATAGTAATACTTTTTATTTATTACGAGTGCGTTTTTCTGAGCACTTAAGGTCAAGTTGTCTATTCGTTCGTGTTTCATTTGTGCGAGTCGTCTTCTTGATATTTAACAATCTTTATTAGTTTGCAAATCATCAAGGCATGTTTGTAATTTTTGAGTATGTGAAATAACGTTCATCAAGTTTCCCAAATTGCTGAAATTACTATAGATCGTTCATCAAACCTGATGTCAAAGAGTTCTCCGATAATATAGGAAAGGAATTCATAATTTTAACACTGCTTACCACTTCCTTCAATGAGGAAAAAACTCTGACATTATTCATCCTTTAGAATATATTTGACACCTAATTTAAGCTGCAAAAATGTGTAATAACGGGTTTTGTTCTAAGTCGTTTCGTCACAAGATTTTTCCTCACAAATATTTCTGGACTGAAAGGTATCCGTTGTCCGTGAAATGCTATACTCTGGCTGGAGCGTGCCAAGATAAGAAGTGCTTATTAAGCCCATAGATGAATGACAGATTACTAAATTCCAAGGGTTTATAGTCGGCCTTGCTGGAGGTCGTAGAACGGGCCTAAGGCGGTCAAGTTTAACATTGTTTGCCAAAATCGAGAAACAAGATCAGCAGAGAATACTAGTATGAAAGAGAGCTATGCCTAACTCTCGCCAAGAAACGTATCTGTTAGCCTTACTTTGCCTCTATGAGCTGGTTAGCTGAAATAGGTATTATTTTTCTAACAAAGGATAGAATACACGGCAAACTTTAAAGCATAACTTTGTGGGATTAAAATTTCTTTTTATTTGTTCTCCAAGGTGTGTAATTGCTACTGACAGTTATAGTATAACAAGCATTATAGGATAAGAAACCATATATGGTCTTTAACAACTCATTCATCTCGGTCGTAAAGCTTCTAATAGACACATGCATGACGTATCAGTCTTGTTCGCTTGTCGTTTCCTTGTGTAAATTTACGAGCTTTTAAAATCCAAATGACACTTGAAATTGTTCTTAGGTCGAGTTGCTGCGGGTCATCGGATTTTCTACTCTTCGTAAAACTCTATTAAAGTAGTGTTAACTGTTGAATGAGCAAGTCCCTCTTACATCGAAGGATATGGAAAACGTTTCACTTTATAATTTTTGTTTTCGTCTTCAACGGTTATAGTTTATTTGATAGGAACTTTTTTTTATTTGATAAGAACTTTTTTTTATCAGATCCACTTGTCAAAAAAATCCCTTTCCCACCATGAAGCCCCAAAGAGTTGGTGGAAGATGGAGGTCGTCCAACGAGGGCATTAATTGGACAGATATGTGCCTTTATCTGGATGGTTTGTGCTGACTCTGTCTTCATGCATGTACCTTTGTGCATGTACCTATCTTTCAAAAACTCAAGAGAGAGGCATATTTGATAACAGTCTATAGACCTTCGTTTGGCGTCATCTCAGCATAACTTGCTTTATTTCCCTTTCTCTTACTGATCGTCATCTTGATTTCACCCTATTAAAATGTCGAGATTGTATTTCTGTCTGCGTGTTAAAATCGAGTAATTGTGACGCCACAGCTTTGCATAAACATCCCTAGCTTAATTTTTAACAAAACAGTCAATGGGAGTTGGCGGCGGTATCTTATTTGTTTTTCTCTAGAGGTCAAGGGCGACCGCCTTTCGCTTTCGTGCCTGAAAAAAAGAACCGATCGGCGGTTCACTTTGTTTGTCGGCGAGTAACGAGCCCGCGGTCTCTGAAACCAAATTTTCCATCTCGTAATCTTTTTGGCATGGAGGTAAGAAATCACAACTACTCTCCGAATGCGAAACAATAATATGAAATAAACCTGATTACGTCTAGGCCAATTCTCTTGAATTTCCGGTAGTCTCTTGGATGTAGAATAGATCTTGTGGTCTCCCGTGCAGAGCCCTAAAACTCTCGTTGAAAAGTGAGTTGCAAATGTTTTTTGTGAGAGAGGCGAAATCAGGTAAGGTTACTACTAAAAATAAGAAAAAAATTGTCTGGAAGGGGGAGTTCTTGTTCAGAGGTAGCTCTATTCTATGGAAATTAAATTTTATTGTGGATTTGGCGACAGTTCTTTTGGAGAGACCGCCGAGGGCGGAACGGCTTAAAACCACATTTGTATTCGGAAGGGGTGGATATGGAGGTGGGAATATGATCTAAAATTATGCATCTCCAGACTTCGAGGTTCTAGAAGTTAGCATCTCTGCGATCAAGACTGGTTCGTAAACAAATGAATGGACAGAAGCTCCCTATATTTGCGACTGGTCGATGAAACGATTTTAGGGTAGAGGACCACCTTACGAAAAAAATTACTTAGCTGTTTAGCTTTTCTGTTGCCGCTTCTTTCTAAATTTATCGTATTACTTTGCAACTTTTACCAGTTTGTAATGCCCCGGACCACTTACTCTATTGGGTGAAATATTAGCTGCTAAGTTTTTCCATGATACAGCCATGGTCGAATACCAGCTGTAGTACGCCCAGTTTGGTTTTACTCACAAATAACACATATTTATGTTACAGTCGATCCTGTATAAATCGGTTACCCACGGGGAATAAATGAGATAATTTTCTGAAGGAATTGTGCTGCTGCTTCGTTTATTCGCTTTGACAAAGGTCCAACGCTCGAAATGTTAGCTTTCAAACTCTTTACGGTGGTAACTCGGTTGATAATACAAAATTACCCTTTTATACCCACGGGGAATAGCGAGATGACCGGGTCGGACCGGTGATACAGGGTGACCGCTTAAAACAGGTTCCACAGATTAAAAGTGTTATAAAAAACGATAAATAGTGCCACCATATGCTATAATTGATCACCTAGTGTACAGAAACAAAAATTATTGAAAGGTTATTCGGCTTAAGTGACCGTTCAACACAAGTGAAAGACAAAACAAACAGGCCGTTGGGAGTTAGAGAAGGGTGACTGCGACCGCTTAATATAGGTGACCACTTAATAGAGATGAAAATTAAAAATTGAAACAAATTCGGGATTTACGCAACCGACCGCTTAAAATAGGGTGATCACTTATTACGGTGCTGCTTAATACAGGTTCGACTGTAGTTTCGTTATCAAGTGTCCTTTCACGTATGCCCAAACTTTCTTTAACCCAGAAGATGGAAATGACGACGAAAAATTCGCTTTTAGACATATAAGCTGGGAGGGAACCAAATCTTAGAAAAGCGCGAGGGAAGGGAAATGAGCAACAGTTGTGAACTGAGAGGGTTTCCTCCCAGATCCTTCATTAATTGTGATGAGGGTAAATGTCACGTGATATCCATCCCATAATTCTGTGCTCTGTTATGTCGGTCGGTGAATTAGTCCTACTGAAACTGACCATCTCGCTGATACTTTACCCATTTTTTACGATTATCAGGTTCCTTAGTACTTTATATAGACAACAGCTGGATAAAAATACAATCTAGGGACGAATTAGGGCCATGGCGACGAATATGTACTTGGAACATTACCTTGATAGTAAGTGCTTTTGATTTCACTTCGCTGTGACGATCCCGCCAGAATTCATACTCATTTGCATTTGGAAAAAAAAAGACAGGCAAAGCTATCGGTGCTTCGCCGATGTAATGATTTGCTTATCCTGGAAAGTTTTATCGTTATTCTGAACGGCATAAAATTTTGGAAATATCTATTTTGTCGTGGAATCTGGTGGAAATAAGGATAAGCTTGTATGTGAAATAGATTTCAGACTAGCGTACAACTTTACACCCACAAAAAGTGAAGATCGGATGTGGGTTTTGGTTAATTTAATAGTCAAGCTTAACTTCTATAAGTTAATGAGTCCTTTATGATGTCAATCCCATTTCCTGTAAAGTTTGATTTTTCCCTACGTTAAATAACTGTACGAGTGCGCAAATCATCAATTTTCCATAACACATTCGAATGAAAACATCTAAGAATGGAAAGGGTTTCCCCTGCAAGTGCTTTCCATGACACATGTTAATTAACAGACGGCACTGCTCTGCTTCTTAGGTATTGAAAACCTGCCATTTGAACTACAGAGGAACTTCACACTTATGAGAGAACTTGATCAAAGGACACAAGGTAACTTAGGCGCACTTATACCCCACTGGCTGAAAATCCTCTTCACGAACCAATCCGCTTAAGTGACTAGCGTAAACCACGCAAGTCAAACATTACGAAACAGTTATTTCTTTGGTCGCTTTTTGTTATTTATAAAAAAATATCAGTTTTCCAATGGTTTGTATTTTGGCAACAAACGTGACACACATTTGCCAGTTCACCAAAGCACGTGGGGTGGTTTCAACCTTGACTTACATTGCTTGGAAAGCAGAAGGTACCCACAATTCAGGGGATTGTCATGAAAAAAAACCTTTAATGTCAGGAAAAAGTCAGTAAATTTTAATTTGACTCTGGGAAAATTGATTGAAAGGAATAAAAAGTTAGGAAAATTTGAAGAATTTGACCATAGGAAGGAAGAAGCTTTTACTGTCACATTAATGGCAAAGATTCTTTCCCTGATAATTGAGAAGTTGAGCACTTTTTGATACTAACCATATTTACTTCTTGGTTGAGGTCAAGGCCATAATTCAAAAGTATTATATCATTTATTTAAATTTTTTGAGAGGAAGGACAGCTGACTGGGATGGACGCAGCCATTATATGTTTTTTATCTTGTTGGTCTTGTCTGGCTGTAGCAACCATGAGACTGTGTCATGTCATGGTACTATCAGGCCGCTTGTTTGAAAATCCCTCAAAGATCTTTATAGGATAACCTTGTTGTAAATCCTGTTAAGGTCTTACCAATCTTATCTCCTCTTGGAAATCTTTGTGCTGCTAATAAGATCTTACAAGGATATTTCTAAGTTCATAATGAATATTTTTATTACACTACAATCTAAATATCAAGAAATGATGCTTGTGTGAGTGGTAATTAAAACCTCGTTAAGGTCTTTGCATGCAAATTTTGGCCAGTAGATTTGCTTGGCTAGATAACTGTGAGGTAATTTGATAATAGGATCTTCAGCACATTCAGTTCACATCTCTCTTTGCCAAACATAATTTATCCAGTAGAATTGCATTTTATAAATTTTTCTGTGAGTCATCTATGACATACAAACCTCCAACTCTCAGTTGAATTGCTCTCAGGTTATTGCAAGAATATGGTATTTATTTGATGAAACACTTGGCATTTATTAAATTTTTTGTGCTTTGAGGGCAAGGTTTATATGAGGCGGCATCAATTCAAAATCCAATTTATTATTTGCAAACAATAGAATGGTAACTGGCCATTTTAATTTCAAAACATAGAAACATGTTTTAGTGCTTGTCGTAAAAGTCATGTTTTATATTGTTCTCAGTTTCACAATTTGCATGTTAATACTAGTTGCAATACATAAAGTAAGTAAGGATCTGATGTCAGATATACTTCTCAACTTTTAAAATAGTACATTCAAAAGTATTTGTGTCTGGTTTGCTCTAAATTTCCAATTGCAATCAAAGCCATGATTGTTGTGAGCTTTTTTAGTCTTATTTAAAGAAATGCTGCATCATGATGCAGCGTATATTTTCAATGGAAGAGTTTATAAATATTTCTGCACTAAAATGAGGTGTTTATCAAACTATGGTGATTTATATAAATGAAAATAACGAGTTATTTTGATAAATGAGGTGGCTGTTACAGAAACATTCAAATCTGAATCTGACAAGAAAACTTTTTTTTATCTCATAAATGCCCAGCTTTCCAATCTTCCCAATTCCACATTTTAAGGAGGAAAATCAAAGTTTCTATAAACTGTTGGGGTCTTAAAAGTAAATAGTTTTTTACAATGTCTTAAGGCAAGGAAAAAAAACCGGTAAGGGAGATTTTACCTCGGAGAGAAAAGTAGGAAAATAAGAAATTGACAACACCAAGATAGCATCAGGTACTAGGGGGATGTTAGCTTGTTCAACTTTTAATGATATGTTGCTGAATTGTTCATAATACAGTGCATTTTTGACTTACATTAAAACAGTTATCTATTTTACTTGATTGTTGTTAGTGTTGGATCCTTGTTGCAGCTAGGAAAATATTCACCATCTCTCTTCCCTCTAGTAAATGGTTACTTAAAGTGAATTACTCTCAAACTAAACATTGCATCCTTCTGTTATTTCATGTAAGACCTTTCAAAGGAGATTAACAGTATGTCAGAAGAATACATGGCAAATGTGCGTGGCATGGATGCTGCAAAAAGGACATTACATTTGAAGAAAATTGAAAATGCTTTTGTCAAGAGTCGGGAATATGGGGATGATAAAGTTCAGCTTGCTATGCAAACTTATGAAATGGTAAGCGAATTAATCTAACTTTTTTATGAAAACTTGATCAAATGTCCTTTGAGGCTAAAATAATGCATTGTGTTATTTTGTAAAAAGTATTATTTGATGAGGTATACTTACCCTAACCCAGATGTTGTAAGTAATCTTTTTTGGGAGTATGAGGTACAATTTTGGTTTCATGAAAAAGTTTGTCATTCAGAAAATGAAGAGCTGTCACATTTGGGATTTTGCTGCTTATTATTCAATCCTGTCCCCCTTCCCCACCCCTGTAGAAAATGGTGCTGTGAAAGAGTGCATTCACAATTTAAACCAACACTGAACACTTAACCTAATATAATTCTTAACCCTTTAAGTCCCACCAGTGACCTATACAGAATTTCTCCTTACACTATCACTACAATATCAAGGAGACGAGTAATGAGAATAAAGAAAAATATCAATTAGGGGATTGTTGGTTGATCCAATTGCAAATTCTGCAAACTAACATCACATGAATTGTGTGGCAGATAGAAAAGAGAATTAGTAGTGAAATCTTGGGAGTTAAAGGGTTAAACTTCCTATTATTTGAATTTATAATTCTGCTAATGAAATCTTTTTTTTTTAATAAAAGGTTGATAAACACATTCGTAAACTGGATGCTGACTTGGCAAGGTTTGAATCAGATCTCAAGGAGCAACATGCCAAGGAAGCGGGCTACTCAGATTATGAAAGTGAGTTTAGTTCTTGAGACTGTGATATACAACTTGGTAAAAGTTACCTAACTTTGTTTGGTGGGGTGAAAACTGGAGAGAAGCTCATAGCAGTTGAAAACTATTTATTTAGAATGCTGTTGATTAGTCCAGTTGAAATTACTATCTAACCCACATTATTCAGAAAGTCTCTTACCCACAGTGCAGCTCAAAAGTAAGTTGAAAAAGCTGCTTCTCTTTGACAAAGAGGCGGCTGGCACATAAGTGACCCTATAAAGGATCTCCAGGATTAAGTTGATCACACATACACACAACATGTTCTAACACATTCAAATACAACTAGCACAACACCAAGACTTGCAGAGATAGTTTTTTTATTTAAAGTATGGTTTCTTTTTATTACACAAACTGGGTTTGTGATTGCTCATCACACTTTCCCCATCATAAAGTTCTCAACAATGTACATTCCTCCATCATTAATGTACAGCATCAAAATCAAGAACATTCCCTCCATGTGGGCAAAGATAACCTCAATTCAGTTTCTGTAGAATATTTTACTGTTACATCTTCCAATGAGCTCAACAATGAAGAAAGTGGTATTTTTAGCAGGGAAGACAACAATGACCAAAGCAATCAGGAAACTGACTCTGATATTGAAATTAACCATTCTGCATTTGACAATAGGCCATTTTACAGTTGTGTACTTGGCTGCCAAGCCTTTAATTTAGAGTGAGGCTGAAGGTGACTGTGTTGTGATAGAGACCAGTATCTGGTTAGCGTGATAACAAAGCAATTTACATTGAAAAGCAGCAAGGTTTTTATCATAACATGTTCATCCTTAGCCTCACTGCTGTTCAGAGGCTTGGCAACCAAGCATGAAACTGTAAAATGCGCTATTCAGAGCAATCAAAAGTGGAGGCCCTTAGGGTTGAGACATGTGGATGTTCTCAAGGGGAAAACAAGAGTCCTTGCAGTTCCTCCATAGAAATTGGCAATATCATTGAGTATTGAAAGAACTGCATTGAACTTGCCCCTACATTGTTTTCATTTAGGAGCCATTTACAGCTCTATCAACTGCAATTATATGAGCTATTTGAGAAGAGAAAGAAAAAAAGGGGCCATGAGTCTAAATACCTTTCTATTTTCTTGGCAACTGAACTTGTCAGAAAACATGTTTGTCTAGGTATCAAATTCTTAGGAGCTAACGTCAGCATGCATCAAACAAACAGCAGCAAGTCACCCAAAATTTACTTTCACTCTTACTTTCATATTTTGTAGCCCAATATGTTCTAATAACTGTGGTGTAGTTTTTTTTTTGCAAAAATTTATTTTAGTTTTCAAGAAAGAAATTTTTTTCGTTTGACCACTCAAATATGCAAATTTTCACCGTGAATATTACCCGAGTTGTGTGACCTCATGTAAAGAATATACTAGACCTACAGTGTTTCTGTCAACATAATCCTTTGTTTTATCATCTAAACTTAATCCCCTGTCATTATTGAAGCTGGCAAAGAAATATTTATTTTTTGGGGAATATGTTTGCCTGACACACTTTTCCTATGTCAAAAAGTAACATCAAAACAGAGACAGTTTTAACAATGACCGATATGACAGAATCTACTGAGCTTCTAGCCTTTAAAAGACAAAAGGATGGTAATAAAGTTACCGTAAAAATTTTATTGTGTATTTGTGTTGTTCTATCTTGAGAAGAACTCAAAGTCTGGCAAAATTTACTTGATAGCGACTATGAAATATACATGGTGCACCTACTTGTCGCCACTGTTAACTGGTATAAATCACTCCAATTTGCAAAAAAATCTAACATAACACTCTTACCATATCATATAAAAGGCCCCTAAAAGGTTTTTATTCCCAGAGCATCACGCTTTGCTTGCCTGTCTGAATACTATAAATTTTAATAGCATTGAAGCAACAACCCACTTTTAACTGCTTCGCTGCCGCTGAAACAATGATTAGTGTCCAAAAAAAGTACATATTTTAATATTTCAATTCAACATAAACAAAAATCTTTATACATGGTAAATAATCACTTGTGTTGGTATCAATTATTATACGACTAGCTTATGACTTAAATGAGGGAGGGGAAAACACAATGCAAAACCTGGGCTCCTGTCAAAAAGTAATACCCAGATGTTATATAACAATCAAAATGGCTAATAAAAATAATAATAAATAAACAAGATAAGAGTGTTATGTTAGACTTTTTTACAAATTGTAGTGATTTATGCCAGTTAACGGTGGCGACAAGAAGCCGCACCATGTATATTTCATAGTCACTATCAAGTAAATTTTGCCAGACTTTGAGTTTGTCTCAAGATTACAGTATATATAAAGTAAGAGTGAAAACAAATTGTGGGTGACTTGCCACAATATTTCAAATTTGTTCAATGGATGCTGGCATCCTCTCTTAAGACATTTTTGTACAGCTTTGTTTAACACAACTGGAAAGTGAATTATCTATTTACATACATTGAACCAGAAAATGTCTTCTAAATTAAACATTGCATAGGGGTTAGGGTTAGAATTGAAGAAGCCATGAAATTCATTTTCAGTGTTGCAGAAGAACAGGCCCTGGATTTGAAAGAATCAATCTAAAATTATTTCTCTTACAAAGTTCTCTTACAAAGAGCAAGATCTGGAAAACTTATCAACATGCATGTGCTGCTACTGGCCACGTAACTATTGGCCATTCTAAATTTGTTGAGTTATGAAATCAACTTTGCTGTTTTTTGTAATGGTGTAACTTGCTTCCAATCTCTGCTGGACTTGCCAAAAGAACAACAATCAAATTGTGAAGTCTGTTGATTTGTTGGAATTCTAGACGGTCGAAATGTTAGTGCAAAAGGATTTACACCTCGGGTTGGTTGCTTATGACAGAGCTTTCTAAAAAAATTGTTGTACAGAAGCAAAAGAAACATTGACTGAACCATTGAAGGCTGTAGACATTTTGGCCTTTCCAGGCAGTTTACAAGCAACTGTTTGTTATTCCTATAACT